TAACACAGGGGTAGGCAACCTTGGCTCTTTTATGACTCATGGACTTCAACTCCCAGAATTCCTGAGCCAGCCATGCTGGAGTTGAAGTCCACGAGTCATAAAAGAGCCAAGGTTGCCTACCCCTGACTTAACAGCTGTTGCAAGAAAAGTTGTAAAATGGGGCAAAACTCACTTAACAAATGTCTCGCTTTAACAAGATAAATTTTGGGCTCAATTGTGGTTGTAAGTCAAGGACTACCTATACCAAGATGGCATTAAAAAGGGCTTAGGTAAAAATCATGAACATTGAGTATATTAAGATCAAATAATAGTGAAGAAATCAGTGTTACGTCCAGGGGCGGGGTGGCCTAGGGACATGTTTCCGTCTTCTCCTTGTGAGGAACTCAGTGGCGGTTAGTTGGACAGTGTGGAAAACAAATGCTAGACTGATTCGGTCCTTACGTTCATATATGTATTGCCTAGGTCACTAACTTTGAAGCTGTGCACCTTCAGGGAACATCTTCTGCAATGAGTGTATTTGCTATGGAATCTCTGGCCTTAAAAACCCTCTGTGTTAGAAGAACCTGGAGCACATTCAGTTCATAAAGAACTCTGGCCAAACCTGTTAATCCTTCTTGTCACTTTGCATCAACTAAGAATAAATCCTAAAATAACTTTCCCCAACCTGGCATGCTCCAGATGTTTTGTGACTGCAGCTTCCAGAATACCCACTGGAATTGGTAAATCATCCCAACCTTTCATGTGAGGGATCATGCCATTGCTGATCTTTTGGTCGGGGTACAGTTGATAAGCTTCCAAGGAAACCAAGGTTTCTTGGAACACTGTTTTGAAAACAACTAGCAGAGCGCATCTGGAATACATCTAGAGTAACACATCCCTCTGAATTTTAATCACAATGTTTTACTTATTTCAAAGAGGCTGGCAACAAATAGACAAAGTACTCTGGATGAAGAGTACTCCTTTTCTCTTTCTCTCTCTCTCTCTCTGTGTGTTTTTGTAAATATACTTGAAAGTTCAGTGTGAGATTTGCAGTTATGTGATCCCGTGCGTGACAAAAGTTTTATCCCTAAAATCTATAGTAGTATTCCATTAGTTTTGCTGATGGCTCCCTCAGACTCCAGCTTGGATGAGGAGAAAGAGTTGGTTTCAGAGCTATCCTAGAAGGAGTATGGGGAGTATCAGGGAAAGGTGGAAGGGTCTGTGCTGGAGATAAGACAAATAGCAGTGGAAGAGGGCGATTGTAGTGAAGCAATTCCCGAATTGTTGGAGGATGCCGGGAGAGAGTAGCCAGAAGAACAGCTGCCCCTGCAATCCAGAGAGGACTTGCAGCTGCAACCAGTCAGCGTGGATGAGGAGGAGTTGCCGCCCCTTCCCGATCCAAGGACGTGCAAGGCCCAGTGGAGAGAGGTGCTATGGAAATCAGTGAGACTAATCATGAGGAGGTAGCCTCGCCCCTCTTAATGGTTGGCGCCTACTTAACAAGGATTTTGAACTTGGTTGGTGTTGGAGGCAACCACTCATACTCCAACTCACCGTGAATGTTTGGAACCCTTTTGTTCTNTTCTTCGTTATGCCTTGGATCTGTTGGAGTCGTGCTTGCCTTTGTCCTGCTTCAACTCAGTGGAGTCATGTTTGTTTCTGCCTTGCCTGAACGGGTGGGAACTGTGGTTGCTTTCATTGAGCTGCGATCCAACGGGACTAGGACTACTCTTAGGTGCTGTGAATAGTAGACTTGGCCATTATTACCCAGGAGTTAGAAAAGACTTAAAGGGGACCGTCCCAGTGGGAACTTGGGGAAAGCCCGGCGGTAGTTGTGTGAATAAACACATCAAACTCCTTACAGCAGGCATGTGTTTGTGGACTGGGGCAGGACACCATTAATGAGCAGCAAATTTCTGAAGGATTTGATTTTGACACCATGCAAGGGGAGATTGTGAGCATACCAATGTGAAAAAAACCTCTCTTGTCATTTCTGCTTTACTTTTGTTTATTTTTCTACTGCTTTCCTGTTTGTCTCCTGTTGTGTTTCATTGTTACAGGATGTACATGATATTCATGGCACTTCATGTGTACCAACCTAATTTATGTTGGAATATCTGAAGTATCAGATAAAACATGATTTGAGGAATAATATGTTGTACAGTCGATTCCGGGGACATATGTAATATCAGAAGATTTCTTTAAATACATTTCAATATGTAAATAATAAGTACATACTAGAAACATAGCTATTAGAATTTTTTTTTGAATATCTAGCCATTTAAGTAAGGTAGCCAATGCAATTTTATTTTTCCTTCAGTTACTTCCAATCCTCTGCATCCCACTGGTAATCAGTTGGCAAGGTTAATCTGTCAGTTAACAGCTCCTTTGAGTTCTAAGGAACTCTTCTTCATGATGTCAGTGATCATATCTTGCCATCTTATCTTCTGTCAGTTTCTTGATTGCCTTCGATTTTTCCAAGCATCAAAGTATTCTCCAATAACTCTTGACTTCACATTATGCGTCCAAAATATCTCAGCTGAAGCTTCCAATGAATAATCTGGCTTCCTTCATCTGGTATTGAATGTTTTATTCTTGTGGCAGTCCAAGGTCTTTCCCACCATTTTCTGAAGACATTGATTTTCCTTCCTTCAGCCTCTCTAAGGATCCAGCTTTCACAGCCAAGTGCTACAACTGGAAAACCCATAGCCATGATAATACTTATCTTTGTTATCAATATAACGTTTCTGCATTTCAATATTTTGTGGAGACCTGTCTTAAACTTTCTCCTAGGTAGCAAAGGTCTGTTTATTTCATGACTACAGTCATCAGTCTTGTGATTTTTTTAAAAAAATGTGGTCAAAAGATAAAGTCTACTATTGTTTCAGGTTCTCTGTCTATTGGCTTTAGTTTGGCATTGCTACTGAGATAATCTTAGCTTTCTTTTTAAATTTTTAATGCTAAAGAGCTGTCCAGCCTCGCAGGCTCTTTTTTTTTATTTTCAGCATGAGCTTCCTTAAATCTTCTTTACTCTAGCCATGAAAATTGTATTATCAGCATATCTATGGTTATTAATTTTAATTCCTATTTTTTTAGGTAAATAAGCTGACAGGAAAGAACCCTGGTATATCCTTTCCCAATATTGAATCAATTAGTTGCTGTTTTAACTGTTGCCACAAATTCTTCAGTAGCAAATGAAATAATACATCCAAACTTGTAAGGACTATTTAAGCTAGATAATGAGTTTAAAATATCCCCAATCTTCCTTCTATATTGTTGCAAGAAAAATTGCATGATCATATCCATGTAATCATCAGAAGAACATTTATACTTTTAATCTTATTATATTAAGACTTGATTACTGTAATTCTCCGAGTTTCTGCTACTGTCTCCAGTGATAAATACATAAATCTAACTAATTGATTTACATGCTATTGACACCCAAGTTGGTATTGATTCTTCCCGACCACATAGATAGATTTTCTCCATGATGCTCTGTCCCTAAGCTGGTTTTTCAGATCTTCCAATGGTATATATGCTTTCCCTTGTTGCATATTATTGGTCATTATTTTTCATAGATTGGTAAATTTTGATACCTCATTTTTCCAACCCTGAGTTCCTTTCCTTGCATTCACAATATTCAAAAAGCAAATTTCTTAATGAAAATAGGTACATATTTTATGTGTAATTCTGTCTAAACCTTTGCAGATGATTTGGCTTACCTAAGGTTTTTTTTATATAGTTTTACAAAATGTAATAGTTTGCTTCTATTGAGGAGTGTTTTTAATACATTTATTCTATGTACTATGTATTTTTTTTATTTTCCCATTCTTTTTATGGGGGCAATGTGGAAAATTCAGAAAAACCAACTGAATGATAACTGCATATTTTATTTCTGATTTGGTTTGGCATATGCAAATTAAAAACATTATATTAAAATAGGGACCAAACTAGTTTCTTCTCCATTATTTCTATCATGTAGTATATAGATAGAATTTAGGAACTATATTATTATTGACTAGCTATTGGTTCTGTTTAACAAAAAAAGAGTGAATCAAAAGAGCAGCAGATAAAAGTATTATGGTATAAATGCCAGAACTGGACTACTAAGATTCTAGTGGTCCTCAACTTACAACAATTTGTTTAGTGACTGTTCAAAGTTACAACAGCACTGAAAAAAGTGACATGACCATTTTTCACACTTATGACCGTTGCAGGATCCCCATGGTCACATGATCAGAATTCAGATGCTTGGCAAGTGGTCCATTTTTATAACAGTTGCAGGGTCCCAGGGTTATGTGATCCTCTTTTGCAACCTTCTGACAATCAAAGTCAGTGGGGAAGCCAGATTCACTTAACAACCCTGTCACTAACTTAACTGCAGGATTTTACTTAATAACTGTGGTAAGAAAGGTCATAAAACAGGGCAAAACTCACTTAACAAACGTCTCACTTAACAGCAGAAATTTTGGACGCGATTCTGGTCATAAGTTGAGGACTACCTGTATAACGGTTCTTAAACTTTTTGACTGATTTCCCTTTTCCTCAGTCTTGAATAATGTCATTTCTCTCTCCCTCTCCCTCTCTCCCCCTCTCCCTCTCCCCTCCCCTCCTTTCTCTCTTTCTCTTTCACACATAACACCCACCCACCAGACACTTATTTTACATAAACATCTCCACAGTGACAACCTTATACTGAATCCTTGATTCACAAACAATCTATTACAAATTGCTCCATTACTCCCAGAATATACCCAAATTAACCCCTTGGTGGTTATTTTCCCTAGTTTAAGAACCACTGCTTCCATCTTGCAAAAGGCCTCTTAAGGTATTATAGTATTTAATATGTTTCTGCACATCTGCCCTGCTGTATCATATTGTAATAGAGGAACAATTTATTTCTCCATTTTCCCATTTTCAAGTCAGACAACTGCTATTTGTATGCCTATTATATAAATAAGAAAATAATATACTACCATAGTAACATTTCTCTCTTCCTCTTTTTTTGTCCCTTTAAACAGTTATATTGCAAACCAGCGGGGTTTAGAAAGCATAAATGAAATAGATGTTGGACTGTACACTGGATTAAGAAATTTGTAAGTAAATATTTTAATTATGTATATTTAGTATTATAAATGACATATTTTGCCCACTGTGTAAGCTTTATAATGGAATGTACTGAGGTCTTACATAGGTCATTGTCTTCATATATTTCATTAAAAGAAGCAACTCATTCTTCGATAAAGTGACTAAATTAGTAGACCAGCGAAATGCTGTGGATGTATATACTTAGTTTTCAGTAAGGCATTTGATAAAGTAGACCACAACTTACTCCTTGGTAAGCTAGAAAAAGGTGGAATAGACAACACCACCAACAGATGGATCTGTAGCTGGCTGGCAAACCACACTCAACAAGTAGTCCTCAATGGCACCACATCCACATGGAGAGAAACAAGCAGTGGGGTACCACAAGGCTCCATCTTAGGCCCAGTACTCTTCAATATCTTCATGAATGACTTACATGAGGGAATTGAAGGGGAACTCATCAAATTGGCAGATGACATCAAACTGACAGGAGTAGCCAACACTCCAGAAGACAAACTCAGGATCCAAAAAGATCTTGACAAACTTGAATAATGGTTCCTGTCCAACAAAATGAGTTTCATTGTGGAGAAAAGCAAAGTTTTACATTTAGGCAGGAAAAATCAAAGGTACAAGTACAGATTGGGCGAGACCTGGCTCAAAAACAGTAACTGTGAGAGGGACCTTGGAGTCCTAGTGGATGATCACTTGACTATGAGCCAGCAGTATGCAGCCGCAACCAAAAAAGCTAATACAATCCTGGGTTGTATAAACAGAGGCATAGAATCAAGATCACACGAAGTATTAGTACCGCTTTATAAAACCCTAGTAAGACCACACCTGGAATACTGCAACCAAGTTTGGTCAGCATATCACAAAAAAGTCATTGAGAGTTTTTGCAGAAATTCAGAGAAGAGCAACTAAGGTGATCAAAGGCCTGGAGACTAAAACATACAAAGAATGGCTGCTGGACATGGACTTGGCTAGTCTAAAGAAAAGAAGAAATAGGGGTGACATGATAGTAGTATTTCAGTATTTGAGGGGCTGCCAGAAAGAAGAGGGGGTCACCAGAGGGAAGGACAAGAAGCAATGGTTGGAAACTGATCAAAGAGAGAAGCAACCTGGAATTAAGGAAAAACTTCCTAAAAGTGAGGACAATTAACCAGTGGAACAGCTTGCCTCCAGAAATCGTGGGCACTCCATCACTGGAGATTTTTAAAAAGAGACTAAAGAGTCACTTGTCTGAGATGGTATAGGTTCTCCTGCTTGAGCAGGGGGCTGGACTAGAAGACCTCCAAGGTCCCTTCCAGCTTCTATTCTGTTCTGTTCTATTTATGCATGGATATAATTCATGAAGCTGACTTACACATTATAGTGAATAGAAACTTTTTTGACACGCATCACAGATTGCTGAATTGAGCCAATATAATAACAATCTTAACCATGAATTATTCTGAAATTTTTTGAGCTACATGCTATACTCTCCATAAATAAATGAATGTATGATAGATCATTCAGTAATTGTAACTTGTGCTTGGGTACTTTTACAGAACTGTGGTGGACTCAGGTTTGAAGTTTGTCTCACGCCAAGCTTTCCTGAAAAATATTAACCTACAGTACATGTAAGTGAAAACCCACTTTATGACTTTAGAACAACCAGAATAATTTAATTACCAGCGGGGATTTAAAATATTGTCCTCTGTACTATATTGCTGGACTCAGGCTTGTGACTGGTTGCTACTTTTTAGAATATATCACTGATGTTGTTGTTGTTTAGTTGCTAAGTCATGTCCGACTGTTCCTGACCCCATGGACCATGTATCAATGTTTACAAGAGCAAAAAGTGTCTCGAAAAAGACAAATATATGTTTCCCCTATATTAGGTGTGAAGGAGATTTAGCACACACACACACACACACACACACACACAGAGAGAGAGAGAGAGAGAAAAGCACAGTATAGTACAGTATACCCAGGCACCTCCCTTCCCATATATCTATCCTACATACATATATACATCCAGTTACAAAGATACTGTGCTCATTGCAACGTTGCTGGGTAGAATCCACTTTTAGTGGCAGAACATTCCGTGCTAACATCGGTCTAATCAGCCATCTACGGACACACCGTTGATGGCCCACAATCCACAAGATGTCAAGGTCTTCATCGAAATCGATGGACGAACAACGCAGTTGTTAGGGAATGCAAGCAGGAGGATATATGGGAATATGATGTTTTCATATGGAGATCTGATTGACCATGATAGGAAGATTAAGTTGACTGGAAGGCCCTTTAAACTAATGCAGCAATTCTCTTCTTGCTAATTATGTATCTGTCTCCTGACCCAAATTCCTCCTCCCATTTGAGAGTATTATAAATTGCTAGAGCTGCACATGGCAGCCAATCGATACATATTCATTTTCCTTTTCTGTTGTTCAAATGACATTTTCAGCAAAATGGTTAGACAGTTTACTGCCAAACAGATGGCAGTGGACTGTCCAAGTTTAGTATTAGAAGGAATGATGACTGGAAAACATCCAGCTATTTTTGGATACATATTGCAACGTTGTCTTTTAAATAAAGATGTGATTTACTGATCTTGCTCTTTAATGTAACTAATTTCCACTGTCAGATATAGCAAAGGCTAAAGATCTTACATAAATGACTTTAAAAGTTCTATCTTTAGGGACAAATAGCTGCTAAGGAACTATGTGCTGATTCATTTACAAAATTTACTTCTACAGAAATATCTCATCCATTAGAAACGAGGAGAATATTGGATGAGTACAGAGGAAAGCAGAGGATGGAAGAAATGTTGTTTTGACTATCAGCTATCCAAGATTGTTGTGATAGTGTACAAGCTATTCCGTTGGCTATTGGAGGGTATATATATATAGCTCTCTATATTATACATTTTATAAAGAGTACTGACAGAACTATCTTTCATTAGGGAAAAGTATTATGTTTTTTTTTTTAAAAAACACATTGCTTTGTTGGGATATAAGTTAATTTACATTCTTATAGCAATAATATACATTAATAATTTCCCTGTGTTTTCTCTTAACAAGAAGTTGGCACATTTGTGATTTGGAAGCTTTCTGTTTTTAGAAGATAAACATAGACATAAATTATATGAACTTCCAGTTTTTTTAAAAAAAATATTTGGGCTTTAATCAACTTATAGGAGATCTCTTTAATTTCATTTAAAATCCCTTTACAACAGATATGCTACAATATAAATAATTTAAAAATGTCAGTACTAACATAGACGTATCCACCAACCTCATTAGTAACCTCATCAAATTTTAAAGAACTTTAAATACAATATTTTTATAAACATATTTGCCTTTCCCCCATCACCTAGGTGAAATTTATGTACAAGAAATGGCTGTCTTTAGTAATTTAGGATTATAAAAATCAGTAATATTGTAAACAAAGGAATTTAAAGATTCCACAGACATTGCCTAAATGTAAAGTGTAATATCAGAGCAACATTCTAATGGAAAAGTCTGAAAATCTTTCCTATATTTTCAAAAAAGATCACTGCATCTTGCTGTGTGCATGTTTTTCTGTTGTGCAGACATAATAAAGAATATTTTCTACTACTTTTGTTACTTATGCATAGGCTAGCCCATGGTATCATAAGAGGAAAGTGTCACCAGGACTTTTTATTGACATTTCCTTGGTCTGCTTTGGTGTTCCTACAGTATTAAGATAAGACAAATATATGTGCTAGAGGGAATAGTAAAATTTCTGTTTGTGGAAGAAAAAGGTTAGTGACAAGAAAGAAAAAGTTTTCTGATAAGAAACTGGTTGTAAAGAGAGGAGAACACTGGGCTAGATCACCTTTAGTCAATGCAGCTGTAGGTGTAGTTTCAGATTAACCTTACTGTCCCTGTAAGTTGAACAATCAATTCGTATGAGAGATGTATCTTGGCAAAACATTATAGCTTTGCCATAAGGACTGCACTACAAATTGATTATCTCAATATGCTATGTTCACCAATAATTGGGCATACTGGCTGAGAATTCTGCAAATTGTAGTCAAAAACATCTGGCTGGCACTAGAGTGGTAAAAGTTAAGAAACAGTTTAAGTATTTTACTCCCTTCTTAAGATGTAAAACAAAGAGAAGCTTTTACGTTTGTTTTCAGCTAACAGTGTTGCTCGTAACATGGAATCCTAGAAAAATGGGTTAGTTTTCAGTATAGTTTAGAGTAGGAATGGGCAACTCATTGGCTTTATGTATTCCTCAGATGTTGCTTTCTTCAGTCCACAATGATTACTTTTCTCAAATTTGGTGGCAAATCATCAAATGGGGGAGGCATCACTTCCAATTGTTTTCCAGAGGAATTAAAAGAATTGAAGAAGAAAAAGGTGTTTTAGGATAGGCTTTAAGGAAGTAAGATGTACATATACATGAACCCCAATGAAACACCTGTTTACAAAAGAAATAATTAAACTCTAAGCTCCTGCTTCATTCATGTGGTATTATTACGTCATGGATGAGTTAGGACATGGGTGTCAAACTGCCGGCCCATGGGCCGGATGCGTCATGCAGAAGCCGCACCCACCCCAGCTCCAGCAAGGGGGAAAAATTTGCAAAATGTTGCGACACGTCACGTCACGTGGCGAGTTTGACACCCCTGAGTTAGGACATTTTCTACCAGGGACATAGTGGTAACACTGCACATTATTTCTAGTATGTACCTATTCTATTAGATATTTTTGGCCATACCACTTTTTTCATGATTTTGACATCTTCACCTAATTGGCCCTGTTGTAAAGCATAATACAGGAAACTGTATACTTAGGGTAGGTGGATCTGGATTGAAAAAGTTCAGACAAACACTACATTTCTGATTTTTATTGTGGCAGGGAGCCTATATCTTATTCAGTGAGAATATATTTCCTATGGAAAATAAAAAAGAAAGGTGCTGCTGGTCTGGAAATCTTTATATTTTGTCCAATTTAAATATTCTTTAGTAAAGGAGTGCCTACCACAGTGTATGTGATTCTGTGAATATAATCAAGAGCAAGAATGCATCTGATTTTCATTGTAATGGAAGATGCTAAAGTGTATTGCAATATAGTACAGTAAATACTTAATTGAACTGAAAGGTTTCATGATGTCATGTTACCATTTTTTCCATGATGTTTGCTGTGAACACATAATTTAAAAAAAGTATTTCTAAAAAGCTCGTGATGGAGTTGTTTGGGATATAGTCAGGGTTTGGAAAAGTAAAACCTTTGATGTAGGATCAAAGACGATATGGTAAACATCTATTTTGCTTATGAATAAATTGAGCGTTTAGTCAACATCTGAGAACATCTTTGGAGTAAAACTTAATCCAATGTTGTTTTTTTCCCTTCATTTGAGCTGAATTGTTTTAAGGTACATGTTGCAATCAGTGTTCATCTGTGCCCAGTCTGGATGTCAAGCTAGGATACAATCTGTATCAGTTTTGAAGTCCATCAGCAGGAGTTGTTTGACAGAGTTTAACTTCCTGGGATATGTCTCTCAAAACTCTTTTGTGTCCTCATTTTTAATCATGACATTGTTTCTTTACAGAAACTTCTCCAGAAACAAGCTTTCAAGTTTGTCCAGGAAGACTTTCCGCCATCTGAATTTGACAGATCTGTAAGTAATTGCTTTTCTGAAAAATCAAGTTTGTTGTTATAATGAATTTTATTAGCATTATTACCAGGCACAGTATTTTAGGATTTAGATTCTAGTAAGAAAACATTTAAAGTTTGTTTCTCGGAAAAGTAGAATTTGTTTTACAGTAGTGTGTGTTTTAAATATGTGCGTTGGATACGTATGCATTTAACAAATGGGACACAGCCCAGGGAACATATAGCTGAGGGCCTATTGTGGCTGCTCTTCCAAGCATCAAAATAATTTTGTGTTTAGGCTAACCACACTGGAGCAAGAGAAACATTGCTGCAAGAATGGTTTCACTTTGTAGATAGCCATGGAGTTTTCTTTAGTCACCATGCATACTAAAGGCTCCTTAACTCTGAACTAGCCATTAGTCCATATTTGGATAATATGAAAAATTACTACTAGTCCAGGTAAGCCAAGAACAATCCATGACTATAGATTGAAGATATAGGTAATCCTCAGGTTCCAACCACTAAATCAATGACTGTTCAAAGGTTTGGTGGTGCTGAATTAATGGTACTTGTGATTAGTCCTTGAAGTTTTACCATTGCAGCACCACAACAGACACATGATGAATTTGGGTAGTTGACAACCAGCTGACACTTACGAAATTTGCAACAGTCACATGATCACCATTTGTGACCTTCCCTGTTGGCTTTCCATAAGGAAAGTCAGTGGGAAAGCTGACAGGGAAGGTTGCAAAATTTTCCTGTAAGTCACTCCCTGCTCCCATTCTTTTTTCTCCTGAGGATCCACATTACTGAGTAAGGGATTCCAGGGGTCTCATACTCCATAGTGCCTGCCCAGAGCACCCCCTTGTTTGTACTCATATCCACCTGACTACATTTGCACTCGGCTGTAGCACTCATCCTCTATCTACTTGGCTGAGCTGGTACCAGGCCAAAGCACCGAAGTCCTCACACCACTCTGCAGCACTTACTCCCCACCTGCACTTGTGCTGCACCTGTCCACCTCCTCTGCATTCAGTAGTTGCTCACCTTCCTACTGAGCTACACTCATGCCACACTGCAGCACCCACCACCTGCTTGTCCATCTGCATGTGTGCCACATTGCAACACCACCACTCTCCATAGACTATCATTTGTCCTACAGCCTAACATCCATCTATCCAGTTAAAAATAACAATGTTTTATTTCAGAGAGGTTGGCAACAAATAGACAAAGTACTCTGGATGAAGAGACTCTTTTGTCATAAATTTGTCGAACCTACAAAACTGTCTCTTTGATCTGAATATTTAGTTGAGCTGATCTACTCAGACAGCTTCGAAAACATCTGAACTGCTGTGAATATCCTATGAGATTACATTGACAGAGGGATCTGGAAGACCAAATCAAATGTACTGCCTGTAGATTGTTATAATTAGTGCTGGATTGTTTCATCTTAATAAAATGTCTTAGGGGCAACAAGTGGTACATCAGTGAATTAGTTCATGAAATATAGGTTATGCTTTTATAAGCAAAGCTGAGATAATGTTCCTTGTCTGAGCCAGACATCTGGACTTTTTTGCTGCTTCTTTTTTTATTCTAGCTTCTTTATACATTAAGTTCGAGAAATACTTTAAGTACGTAATTAAATAGGCTTTCCTGGATGTGTTAATTTTAAGTGGGTAATAAAGATTCCATTTTAATTCCTCGGTGTGAGCTTATATATTCCTCTAAGCCTTAGAGCCCAGTATTTGTTGTTGTAGTCTCAAATATTACTTAAGCCATTTTTGCATTTGTTCCAAGGGTTTAATAGATGACTTTTTTCTTGTCTTGGTATCGTTTGCTTGAAATATATTTCTGTAACGTTTGACCATAAGGGGGAGCTCAGTTTATCCACAATAATAGAAAACATCTAAAACTGTATTATGGGACACTGTATACTGAGAATTAAATATGATTCTTGTTCAGGGTCCAGAATATTTTTTTCTACTGAATTGAAGAAAATGGCATTCTTTTCTTCCCAGTCAAGACCAGATTTCTGAGTTGCAGCTTTTTCAAACCTACTTCTCTCCAAATGTGTCTAAGAAAGTTAGGAATTATAGTCCTAACACATTTGGAAGGGACCAGATTGTCGAATACTAAACTAGATGAATGGGTTAAAACTCTTTTGGACAACATCAAACAAAGAGGATTTGGGACCTCATCTTAGAAGAGGCATCCCTTTCACACAGATGCAAAAGGGAATATGTTTTGATCCAATGAATGCCGTGAGAACCAGAGAAGTACTATTTTATTGATATATAGTCTTAGCTGATTAGTAGATTAAAGCTCAGGAGCCTCCATGCAACGCCAGTATTATATTTAAATATCCACATATGAATCAGTGGAAAAATAAGTACATTATTTGGACAGGGATGAAAAGTGTTTTATTCCAATTGTGGGCCAGATCAGAGACAAACGTGATTCAATATGCTTTTATCTGCTGTTTTTATCATTGTTTAGACCTGTCCAGCCTTATTTAAAGTGTCTTTGATTTGTCAACTGTTATTTTTTTCTTAAACCTCATATAAATCTATTTTTTTGTTGTAGGATTTTAGAAGGTAACCCTTTCAAGTGTTCCTGTGATATTATGTGGATCAAAGTATTCCAAGACACCAAGTTTCCAAAAGCAGAAACTCAGGATTTTTACTGTATAAATGACTACAACCAGAGGATATCTCTGCTGGAGAAGCCAGTCCCAAACTGTGGTAATGCTCTTTTAATGAAAATTAATATCTGTATTTAAGTTGTAAAAAAAGATGGAGTACAATAGATTAAGCTCTGACTCTGTCTAAACGTCGTTAATTTTGATAGAACTTCTGTTAGAGATTTTAATGGATTTTCTTATTTTAAAAACAAGTTTTAGTTTTGATTGGGAGATGAATAAATCCTATTTCAGGTAACTTTTGAAGTTGCAGTCGTATACTGGGTGTGTAAATTGAATCCTGACTAATAGGATTTAAGTTGCCTTTCTGCATGATTTTCTACTTAAAATAATTCTCTGACTTTTATAATTTTTCAAATTCATTTTGGTGATGCACTTATATTTTTTCCCCATAATGTACTCTTATTTCTAATTTGTCTAATGAAGTGTTGTTTCTATTATAAGAACATTGAAAACAGTTCATGTCCTGTTATTCTATAAATAAAACTGTTGGTTAAAACTGAAACAGATAATTGTAGGTTGAATTGAACTCTAGATCTGTTCCTACTTCAGAAAGTTTTGCTTAAAAATTATAATTTTAAACATTTCAAATATCACAGTTCATTTTGAATATTCAGTAAACAAAATTTTCATTTGCATCTAAGAATGAAACAAACTATTTATATCCGAGCAAATAATCTGGTACTTACTGGATTGTGCTCTCATTCCATTCATGGAAAGTTCCTGTTGGTGGAAAGCGAAACAATTTTCACTGATTCTGTTCTCTGTTGCATTTCCATAAAAATATACACTGGAGGATTGCTGACCATCCCAAACAAGGAGATTTTGGAGGTGATGGTGGGAGGGAGAAATTGACTAAATTGATAAAATTCCTTTCTATTAGTGGAAGGAAAATGTAGTATCTAACATTCACATACATTTATTTATCTCTTGTGCTTTCTGTAGTTTATGTTGTAAAAATGGAAAAATCTTGAATATCATGAGGTCCTTTGCAGGCTTGTTTATGGTGCTTGGTATCCTGTCTCCTGCTTTCCTTGCCTTGCATTAATAGTTTGTGTCAATGGGCTTGCACCTTGGAATATTTTTTTTTCTTTGCTTTGCTACCTTTTCTTACTAAAATAATTGACGGGCATATTTATATTGCATATTGGAGCAGCATTATGTAGAATTTTCTTTTGAGCATCATCTTGAAAAGTTTTAAACTTTACTTTATTACCCTTTTAAAATGAATTCCACTGTATTTTTTTTTATATTTCTCTTTGCTTCTGATCCAACAGGGAGTAAAATTTAAGAGATGCATTTAGTATGGTGTAATTTGTTTTGATGGCCTGTGTGATATTGCCTGAAGTACCTTTTTAAAAGATGTGAGTTTGGCACAGAGTAGAAGAAAGACACAGTTGTTTTACAATTCTGTGGATCAATGCAACTGACAGACATGGAAACCTAAGCCTTACAAGTTTTGAAAGACAAAAATCCATAAGGAAATTTCTCTGACATCTGCCGGTTTAAAACCAGATTATTTTTAGTATTTTATTACAAGATTTCTGGATAAAGTCTTTCTGTATCCAACGATTCCTGTGGTGCTTTTAAATACTGGTATAGCTTAGGTTAACCATGATAGCATTTTATTGCCTAAAAAATACAAGATGAATCAAAGCATTTGGCTTTCATTGCCCTCCACAGTGTTTTGCATTCTGCATTTTTTTCTTGTTTGGTAAGAAATTTCTGTTTTAGCTCTGCTTCTTGGCAATAGTCAGAATAGAATTATTTACCCATATGGTATTATGGTCAAGCTTGGAGTGATGGATGAATCAGTTTTGAGCCTTCTGTTGAAATGTATTCCTATGGTATTTTTGATAATATATTCCTTAAACCATATACAACAGTAACTTGAATAAATGGTAACCTGTTTATGTCAGTACCAAAAACGACATCTTTAAAATAAGGATGTAATTGAGCATTTTCAAATTAAGCACAATATCATTCAGCATGAATAGAAAAACTGTCATAGGAATCAATATTTGGGCATAGTGTTGAAATATATTTGGTGGCTTTGATGATATATCTGGCAGTTTTATTCCTATGTATGCAGACTGCTGTTTTAAGTTGGGGAAAATCTTTCAATAGCTATGAAATCTCTTCTACAAAGACCAGTTCTTAGGGCAGGCTGCAAGCTGTAATTCTTTATGGTTCTTTATGGTGTAGTTTAATATAGTATAGATGAATTTTACATAGGGTCAGACCATTTTCAGGATTTCTGGAATTCAAATTATACCAATTCTTAATGCAAGGAATAAACATTGATCCCATCACTGACATTATGGTGTGGAATCCACTACTCTTTGCTGTTGAAATATCAGCATCAAGAAGTACTGCTTTACTTAAACTAAGCATATTACTTATACTATATCTATACTCCTTAGAGATTTTCATCTATTTTTGTTTTTGGAGAGCTACTATAGTAGTAGCCATGTGTTGACCGACCGACCTACCTACCTACCTACCTACCTACCTACCTACCTACCTACCTACCTACAGCTTTGAGAAAAGATGCTGTGCTATTCATGTAGAAATCCCTGGACAATTTTACATCTGCCATGTCTCTAGGCCGAGGTTGCCTACCGGCCCCTCACCTATTATGTGAGAGACAATAGAACCTATTTAGACAGATTTGGATAAAGTTTATAATTGGAAGGGATATAAATATAGATTTGATATATCTCAGAATACAAACGTTAACTTGTAGTATTATGAATATTTCACTCTTTAGTATTTTCTTTCTTTTAATTTTGTATCTTTGTTTTCCATGGGAATCTGTTGCAATTGCAGCTGCCAAGGGTTTGTTTATAAAGTGCAAATATACAAGGACAAAATTTTCATCTTCTGATGCTCTTGCTTGGGAGCACTTTATAAGACAGAGATATTTTAGTTGTCATAAAATATACAGTTGTCATTCACTATGCAGACCTGCCATAATCAAATTATCCATATTAGACATCTAAACAAACCCTCTCCTGCCCAAATTTAAACAGTATTTAAAACCAGTGCTTCTAATTATTTTGCTTAAGAGAAAAGTAAGAACAAAGAAACTTAACTGAGGAGCATGGAAAATTTAAACGACAATCACACGCATGTTTATATGAAAGTTCCTGGGTTCATTCACACTGAATGACAGGCCCCAATGTCATATGTAATCCTCAGAGATTTCCAGATTGTCACCAAACTGGAATGATAATATGACAGGAAGTGAAAATGATCAGATACACAATGGGAGACATAATCAAATTAACTTTTTTAATTTTAATTACATTTTAATGTAAATTATATTTAGTTTTCATCCTGACTCCTATCCAGTAATGTTGGAGTATAGTCTTTAGCCTGGAAATATGTCCATACCATGATCTAAGTCAATATGTGATTAGTTACAGAAGTGTAATACATAAAATCCAGCTATTGTGGTTTGTAAACCATAATTTATTGTGTTCAGTCATTACATACAAATGGGCTTGAATTAATAAACTGTGGTTAAACAAATCTTGGCTTAGTATATGTTATCTGAGGACAGGCAATGAGGCTTGCTATTCACTAGATTTATATAAAACAGACTTTTCTGTTTTTCTGTTTAATATCTAATAGGTTGTTTCTAGTTTTTTTATTCTGTTTTGTGCAAACATTTCTTTTTATCTGTCTACTGAGAAAGTTTATCTCAAGAGATATTAAACACCTTCTTTTTGACAGATTAGAATTTGGCTTCACTTTTTAAAATCAATATTGCTGGACTATAGGGAAAAATGTGTAGTCTTTTTTTTTACTCAGTAGCTACATTTCTCATTTATTTATTTAATAAACTTATATCATTGTTAGCCTCATATGTATGACATACGTCAGCTTTCTCTAGCTCTCCCCTGGTTTCACCTGATTCATATGTACTCTGTGCCTGGCCTACTCTAACTTGTTCACCAACCCCTTAAATCTGAGAAATTAGACTGATGGAAATTATGGAAAAATGCTTTATAATATATGAAAGCAAAATTGGTTGTGAATGAGAAAAAATCATCTAAGGCAGGGGTCTTCAAACTTGGCCCTTTTATGACTTGTGCACTTCAACTCCCAGAATTCCTCAGCCAGGCACACTGGCTGAGGAATTCTGGGAGTTGAAGTCCACAAGTCATAAAAGGGCCAAGTTTGAAGATCCCTGATCTAAGGGAATTATAAAAATAGAATGAGAAAAGGGTTATTGTATAACCTTATACAATATATAAAAAGACAAAAAGTTAAGTGCAGAGAGCGAGGAATGGTAAAGTTTAAGAGACCAAAGTGAAGTGGATTTGGGTTTTTTTGGGAGGGGGAAATAATCAGAAGAAGAGGGGAATGAAAAATAAAAGTGATGAAATGGTATGAGATGAAGTTAGCAGGGGGGAATCCTTCTAATTTTATATTTATAGTTTATAGGGAGATGATAGTGAAAAGTCAAAAAGTAAAATTAAAAGCACCATAACTGTTAAGGCTCAAGCAAAATGTATGAAAAGGAAGTCACATCTTCTGTGAGAATGTTGATATCAGTTAGAGCTCAGGAGTGGATTGTATAATTGGAGAAATGTCCACATGTGAATACAATTTGTCTGTGGAGTGGCTGTGTGTATCTTGCTTAACATGTATGTGAAAAACTGCATCTGGGCTTAACAATTGGAAGAATGCTGTTACTATTCCCTTATACAAAAGGAAAGCTAACAAAAATGAATGTAAGGATTACAGGGAGATTAGATTGTTAAATATGTCTGTGAAGATGTTTGACAGAATTCTGATTGAAACTGTGGAAGAGGTCACATTGAGCAAAATTTGGGAAGTACAGTGTGATTTTTTTTGTGCCAAGCAGAGTGCGTAAACTAGGCTTTTGTTTTCAGGAAGTCATTGAAAAACATGACAATTTCTGGGGCTTTCAGTTTCTTACTGCTTTTCTTTCTTTCTTTCTTTCTTTCTTTCTTTCTTTCTTTCTTTCTTTCTTTCTTTCTTTCTTTCTTTCTTTCTTTCTTTCTTTCTTTC